TTTATATGGAATGCATGAAAATATAAATTTGATTTATAGAGTAATATTATTATTGGATAATAAGAGAAAATAATTTTAGCTATTTTATTCATTTGAAATATTCCATTTTTCCAACAGACTCTCTCCCATATAGCTTCAACAACTTCAACTGTACCCGATTCAACACCAATGCCATCTCTAACCTTGCTTCTTTTGGAGCATCTGTCATTCTCAGAGAGTTGTTCCTTAAACAAGTATAAAAATAACAAGATTAAAAACCGTATTCCTCAAGAAATAAAGTCCTGTAATTCAAATTTACTATTACATCAAAAAAATGACTGAAATTAAATGTAGGCATTGATCAGATAAGTTGCATTAATATCAAACCTCTCTAGTTCACTTCTAAGTTTAATAGATTACACCTGAGTGATTAGTGAAAACATTAATAACGTGATATGCATTATTACCCAAGAAAATTATAGAGGTACAACAAGATAGAAGAGTATCTCCAATTTTACCTTATAGCAAAATAAGGTACAACTTTGATGTTCTCTTGGGTAATTTTTTTCATGGGACTTCAATAACTTCATGTTCAAATTAAACTTTCATGGTAGTACACCATGAAAGTGAAGGTATATAAGTCATTTAAGATGGTTATTATAATTAAACCTTCAAACACTGATACCTTAAAGCTTGGATAGTTTATTTGGCAATCTGTCATTTAATCAAAAGAGAGATATTACAAAGGGATTTGGGTGTGATGTACTGATGTACATTAAAGATAACAATAGCAACCTGGCTACATGGAACATATAAAGATGTCAGATCACTTCTAACCATAGAATACATGTTGCACTGCAAGCCACTTAATATGACAAATTTTTGTGAGTCTCAGAATTGTGTGACTTGCAGTAGACACTTGTGACACTTGGATCCAAGATGTATTTGAAATTGAGGAAAAAGATAATTTGATAAGCTCAATTGAGAATGATATAGAGAATTTTACTTTGGAATACTCTATGCCAAATAACATGAAGGTTATGGTGGCAGAGTTAAATCAATTCCCACTTTTTCCACCGGGCTCTAAAGCCCTTCCCCTAACCATTCCGAGTGAGAAACCGCTATCATCTGTTTTGCAGACACCGGAGGTGGAACTGAAACCACTCCCTGAAAATTTGAAGCATGTGTTCTTGCCTTCTTGGGCGAAAGTCACCCTCTACTAGTGATTATCTCAAATGCCTTGACCCAAGAACAAGAAGAAATACTAATTGGGATCCTCGAGGAATACAAATTGGCCATTGGATGGTCTATTGCCAACATCAAAGACATTATTCCATCTACATGCATGCACCAGATCCTACTTGAAGATGAGGCGAAAGCGGCGAGGCAACTGCAACAAAGATTGAATCCACCCAAGATGGAGGTGGTAAAAAAAGAAGTGATCAAGTTACTACAAATGAGAATCATCATTCCCATTTCCGATACCAAATTGGGTAAGTCCTACCCAAGTTGTGCAAAAGAAGACCGATGTAACAGTCATTGAGAACAAAGACGACAAGATGGTGCCCACCCGAGTTCAAAACGGGTGGCGAGTTTGCATTGACTACCGAAGACTCAATTCGGTAACTAGAAAGGATTTCTTTCCTTTGCCCTTCATTGATCAAATGCTAGAGAGGTTAACCGGGCACAAATTCTATTGTTTTCTAGATGGTTACTCCGGGTAGTTCCAAATACCAATAGGCCCGGAGGACCAAGAGAAAACAACCTTCACATGCCCATTCGGCACTTTTGCCCACCGCCGAATGCCCATTTGGACTATGCAACGCACCAGACACCTTTCAAAGGTGCATGATGAGCATCTTTTCAGAATTTGTGGAGGTATTCATGGAAGTCTTTATGGATGATTTCATAATCCATGGAGACTCTTTCGATGCTTGCCTCTATCACCTCACTCTTGTGCTCAAGAGTTGTATTGAATCCAACCCTATTCTAAATTCTGAAAAATGCCACTTTATGGTGGAACAAGGGATTGTTTTTGGGTATGTGATCTCATCAAATGGGATTGAAATGGACGAATCAAAAATTGATGTGATTCAAACGCTCCCGTACCCCACAAATGTACGGGACATCCGCTCTTTCCTTGGTCACGCCGAGTGTAATACTTGAGATTTAATTTAAATGAATTAATAGTACTAATCATACCAACAAGATGCATCTCCTTTTAAGGTAGATGATCACTAAGAACTTCCAAGTTAAGCGTGCTTGCACGGGAGTAGTCTTGGGATGGGTGACCCCTGGGAAGTTTCTCAGGGCGCACACGAGTGAGGACAAAGTGTGTGTTAAAGGCTCGTGGAGGTTTGTGAGGACAGTACTAGAGGTCCAGAGGGTGTGTAAGAGTAACTACCTCAGGCCTTGCGTGGTCGGGGTGTTATAGGTGGTATCAGAGCAACCCTGCGACAGTGTGCTGATCCGTTGGATATCGGGCGGGCACTCAGCAGTGGAAAAGATTCTGGGATATGATTGAGATTGGTTTATGGGTGCAACGAGGATGTTGCGTTCCTAAGTGAGGGTGATTGTAATACTTGAGATTTAATTTAAACGGATTAATAGTACTACTCATACCAACAAGATGCATCTCCTTTTAAGGGAGCTCATCACTAAGAACTCCCAAGTTAAGCGCGCTTGCATCGGGTTAACTACTTCGGGCCCTACGAGGCGGGGTGTTACATCGGGTTCTATAGAAGATTCATCAAAGACTTCTCCAAAATTTCATCTCCTCTATACAAACTTTTGCAAAAGGAGGTGGAATTTGATCTTAATGATGAATGCAAGGAAGTTTTTGACACTTTTTGATAGGGTATTTCTTACACGGGAAAAGTACTAGTTTTACTCTATAATGTGTATCATTTTGTTTACACTGTAGATACCAATTGCAATAAAACGGTTCACAGTTATTTCATATTGCAAATGTCTCTGATTTGTTTTTTAATTTATTTATTTTTGTTTAATCTTGATTCTTGAATATGATTATATATGAAGCTGTAAAATGATTTTAGAGGGATTCTAGACGGGAAAAGGGGCAAAATCCCCCCTAAAGTTGTCACTAAAGTGGATCTAGGCCCTCAAACTTAATTTTGGAGCAAAAATCACCATATTCCCTTCAAAGAGGGCATTTCCCCCTACTCTAACCGTGACCTACGGAGAAGTTAATAGCCATGTGTTCTTAAATGCAAATGCATACACTCTAGTATTGTCTCTAGCTAAATGCTGAAAATAACATTAAAGTTTATATATTTTTTTGTGAGCAGATATCTTAAATAATTAAACATGTAGCAAATTAACTAACTAAATGTCGAATTATCTGTCAAATAAGACAAGACAAGATCAAACAAGTTTAGACCAACCCAAATCAGATTAGATCAGTCCATAAAATTTCAAAAAAATCATTAATTTGGTCTGCTATGAAATGTCATTATATATTATTTACATATTATAATCCATATGAAATTTATTTGTATTCATTTATTATTAAATGATCACAACACCCATACAAGCAAAGATCAGACATATTTGGTCATCATCGTACACAAACATTCCATAACCAGCCCACACATTTATCATTACCAATCAACATCACACTTTCTTTAAGCAGCCAACATTTTGTTCTTTACAAACAATTTCAGAAAAAAAACACCATATTTTCATCATTGCTTCCCCAAAACAAACACTTCACTACACACACAACGTATATGTAAGCCAAGGCAGACAAGCAAGCGCACAACAATAGCCATACACGATGTCACACACAGACAAACAAGATAGAGGAGTCAAACATAGGAAAAGAGATTAAGAGAGTAACTCCCCTGATTGGGAAAGAAGTCATACATCCACGCCCCACATCCTAGATTCCCAGCCAGATAGGATGAGCTTTAGGAAGGCTTCTAGACGAGGACTTTTGCGTATTGGGTGTATTTCAACCTCTTTTCGCCTTTTCTCCTTAACCTCTTCACTGTCCAGAACCAGAACCTGCTTGGCCTGGTGAACTTCCTCCTCCTCTTCACTGTCCGAAACCACTAGCTCCATCGGACCTTCATCATCATCCCCATGCGATGCCTCTTCGGTGTCCAGAACCACAAGGTCCACCGAAGTTTTACCGTGGTCCACATCGAGGTCATCATTTGGCTCGACTTCACTATCCAACACCATCAGGACGCCCATGCAAGCATAGTATGGACCTTGATCTTCACATAGGGTTTCAGGGCTTGATTCTAGATCCATGGAGGTCGAATGTTAGGTTTACGGATTTGAATCAAGAACAGACGATTAGATCAACAAAATAAGCTAGGGTTGTGGATTTTGGTTCAGAGAAGGAGGGGAGGCGATGCGTCGGAAACAGAGGGATGAGAGGATGAGGGGAGGCGGTGCATCGCAACTGTGAGAGACAAGGAGAGAGGGGGTGAGATAATGCGAGAGAGAATGGAACGAGAAAAGTGGGGTAGAGTGTAAGTGGGAAAGAGAAAAGTGAGGATGGTAAATATTTTAAGGGGTAAGATATGTTTTTAGTAGTAGGAAGTTTCCTTATTTAGTAAGCGGGAAGTATTTTTGGGAACAACCTAAAATAGAAAGTGAGAAGAATTTTTGGGAACGGAGGGAGTATTAGTTTTTGTGTAAGTGTTGATAACTAAAATGATTCTGTACAGTAACTTTAATCAATACAACCAGAAAAGTAATTTCAATCTTACTTTTTCTGCTTATTACATAATTCAACGCGCGAAATCAAAAGTTACATGTTTGATGAAAAAACTGATTGATAAGTCTGATAAGCCGAAAAAAGGTCTCCCAAATAGGACCTTAATGTTAAATAGAGTATTGGTTGTAGGGGCTATTTTTTTTTTTGAAATTTGGTGTGAAATGTGTAAATGAAGGACCAAACATTGGTAACAACTAACATACTGCGAAGTTCGAACGTTCACACTACAAAAGTGATACTCATAATCCCGTTGACTTATTGTCGGCCCCACGGGGTCGTGGCACAGCAACAGTCGGTAGTACTATTGCATTGAAGGCCAAACATCATTCTCCATCTTCACACTCCAAGCTTTGCAGCTCGCTCCTTCTTCACCAATCACCACCCAAGCTCAATACGGTTTCTTCTTCATCCTCATTGTCACTGTATCTTCTGGGTGTCTCAGTCTATGCGAAAACAGAGAAATGGGCTGTTTACAGTCCAAAACCGCCAATGTTCAGTCACCAGACAAAGAGCCATCCCACCCGGACTCCAAACCAGATCTCGGTATCTCCCTCTCTTTCTCTTCCTTCTTTCTCAACAATATATTGCATAATGTCTGTGATTCTCATTGTTTTGTTGACTTTCACACGTCGATGAAGCCGATGAAACCACCTTAGATCAAGACCAAGTGCCTGCATTCACTGTATTTAGTCTTGCCGAGCTAAGAACCGCAACAAATGGATTCAGCAGTGATTTGATAGTTTCCGAGAGCGGAGAGAAAGCACCAAATGTTGTATATAAAGGGAAGCTTAGGAGTAACCAGATTGCAGCCGTAAAGCGTTTCTCCAAGCAATCATGGCCAGACCCGCAACAGTTCGTGGTAAATCATATGTTATGCAAAAGTTATGAGCTTTGACTGGGTTCTGATCCTTATATTGATTGCTGATTTGCTATATGTAGGGGGAAGCTGCAGGAGTTGGAAAGGTTAGGCACAAGAGATTGGTGAATCTGATTGGTTGTTGTGCTGAGGGAGATGAACGTCTACTCGTAGCCGAATACATGCCCAATGATACACTTTCAAAGCATCTCTTTCATTGTAGGGTTTGATCTTAAACCTTCCACAGACTGTCTTGCAAAGGATGGATTGAGTCTAAGATGCACTCTTAAACAACTGTTTTTACTTACAACTGTTTTCTGTCTTACATTTTTGGGATGAAAATTTGTAGGGGAAAAGCAACCCTTGCCCTGGGAAATGCGAGTAAGAGTGGCATGCCATATTGCGCAGGCTCTGGAACATTGCAATGCTGAAAACAAGAAAATCTATCATGATTTGAATGCCTACAGAGTTCTGTTTGATGAGGTATTGTGTATCCTTACATCATATCTAGAAGGCTATTGAAATCCCATTTGTGCATATGCTTATCTGAATGGTTACTGATATACAGTTGCTATGCCCCATTTTTGCATTAGTGCACACATAACATTGGAATTTAAGTTGTCCACATAAGGGGTTTCTTGATTTTGCAACACTTACCCAGCTCTGGAGTTTATAGGCTATTCAGGTGTCTTATTGCACAAACATATGCTCGCAGTGAAGCATTTGCTATTATTAAGTAGGATAGTTCTTGATAATTGATTGAGTATTTTATATCTTTTTTTTTCTCTCTATTTCACTCATTTTGGCTTCCCTCATGGTACTAGGCTACTCACTTATATAGTTATGTTTCATGTGGAATTGTGGGCTCATATATGTGTATGCTATACTTTCTTGTTTATACTCACTTTCCCCAGATTGTGTATCCCTTCTTCTTTGTTACTTGGTCCGTCCTAAAATAGTGCATGTCTTAAGTGAAGGTTAATGCCTCATAAGGCTCGTAAAACATATAATTTCTTAATACTTTCCATGTATAAACTTATCTCATTTAAGTTTTTCACAATGTACTATGATTTTGCTTAACCTCAACCTGTATAAACTTATCTTATTATAGGATGGCGATCCTCGATTGTCTAGTTTTGGGTTGATGAAAAACAGCAGAGATGGAAAGAGCTATAGCACCAATCTAGCTTATACACCCCCAGAATTTTTGCGCACCGGTAAATATGTATTTTTGGCTTTATATTTGACATTCTTCTGTCATATGAAGTTGTATTGTCCAGGGAAAAGAATAACTTTCATTTTCATAAATGAAACATAATTCATGTGGTAGCGAAACATTTTGTTACGGGTGTAGTTGGGGTCTCTTTTTGGATCCAGGGAATTGAGAATATGAGAGAGGAATAATTAAATAAGTCTAAGCTAGAAATAATCGGTGCCCAAACAAATTAAATAAGTCAAGACACACAAGAATTAATTCTTCTCAAGCTCTTTATTGAATAATATTGATGACCCTTATATAGCTATTACAAGAGTCCTAATTATAAGAGGAAGTAAATGCAAATTAAGAAGTTGCCTAAACCAGAGTAGGAATAATTATAAAATGAGATAAACGCTAATTAAGAATCACACACACACACGCACACACACATATATGAGTAACAATAGTAATAGTAATAATAATATAAGGTTTCCTTGCTCACATTATTACTCCCCTTTTGGACATCAAGCTTTTCCTGAAGCTTGAAGGGAAGTAACTTGTAATGTAGGTATTTGCAACGATCAAATGGTATGATTATAAAAACATCTTATATTGCCCCATATAAGATTTGATAACACTTCTGCTAACTTAAGGAGAGTAGTAATGTAGTATAAGCTACCATAGAGCCTGGGCATTGTTCCAGATAGGGGAAATTAAATCCTCTCACTGCCTCTTGGGTGCTTTTACCAAACCAATTATTGTCTTGACACAAAATACTCTCAAGGATCAGGTTTGGGAAGACCTTCCCATTGCAAGGCTTCTTCACAAAAAAACATCACTTGTAAATTATTATAAAAGTAATTTGCAAACGTCGATGTAGGTGCAGGTGCTGTTGAAGGCTAGAGAATTAAGATTCAATCCTGTAGGATTTTAAAATCTCAATATGTTGCACTGATCTTTCACCAAAAGCACCCAACAAATCATACTCATCAAGGGAACAACATAATTGAGAGACAGTGAAACACAAAATTCGATAATCCATTTTTTTAAACCTAAAGGTGAGCTAAATGAACAAAAAAATGAAGAAGAAAATGAAAAATGAAACAATGAAGTTATGAAAAAACCAACTGTAGAACACAAAAATAATCTGCTCAAGTGCTTATCTTTTCACATGTTGTTGGGTGTTCAAGAACAAGGCGAATAACCCAATAGCTGTGCACAAACTTTTCTGGTTTTTGTCAGCAACGAGTCCAGAAGTCTTCATGAAGAAGGTCTCTGGTTGCTGATTACATTGGGTCTCCTTTTTGGGATTCTCATCATTTCATTTCATTTTCATTTACCCCAGTGCCGCAAAGGCTCCCACCTACGGTGGGGTAAGGGGGGTCGGATGTACGCAGTCTTACCCCTGTACTAAAGCACAGAGAGACTGTTTCCGGATGACCCATAGTGAAAATCCATTCCAAAATTGCATGGACTGACAGCTGCTTCATAACAAAGAATCGCATACAGTTTAGTGAGTCATTTTGCTTTATTCCATCATAATCTCAAGCCAAAAAATAACGAATCTTTGGCTCCATTGCAAATGATGGAAAATTCCTTTTTGGGATTCTGGACAGGGAATAAAAATAGATGAGCAGGAAAGCGCCAAAAACATGATAAAACTGAAAAGGTGTGAAACAAGATGAATCAAGCAGGAACGTTATGGCTCTGGTACCAAATTGTTACAGGCATGGATGGGATCTCTTTCCAGATCTAGGGAATATAGAATATGCGAGAGGAATAATTGGAATTTTCAATAACTGAGCTTATTTTTCTCCCTTTCTCTCTCCCTTCCAATTATCCACATCTTTTTATATTTTTCTTCGCAATTTCAATAATATTTCCGTGCGATATCTCCTTACTTGTTCCATGTCAGTAATGGTCATTACCATACTCTATCAAGTAAGTAAGTAAACTACCTTGCGTCAGGCCTAAGCTAGAATTAATCGGTGTCCAACCTTGTCAAGACACACAAGCATTAATTCTTCCCAATCTCTTTGTTGAGTAATATTGATGACCCTTGTATAGCTATTACAAGAGTCCTAATTATACAACGAAGTAAATGCTAATAAAAAAGTTGCCTAAAGCAGAATAAGAATAATTATAAAAGGAGATAAATGTTGTATACTAAGCTGCCTAAAGCATATATATGAATAGTAATGATAATATAAGGTTTCATTGCTCACATTAGTCACATCACATTTTCCTATTCGTTGCATCTAGATTTATGGTCGCAATAGATAGAGCTGGATTTAGGGAGCATTGAGGGTGTTTTTGTATTATACTAATACTAATTGAGTTTTCCTTAAGCGCAATGCTGATGCAAGAATCTATAAAAGCTGTCAATGCCTTAAGCCATCAAAGTAAGATTCTTAGCTGCAATTGGGTTGCATAACAATTAATCTTTTGTTGTTAGACTTCATACAAAAAATACATCTTTATTCTATCCCGCACAGATTTGAATCATTTGATAGGAGCTTTCAACAATTCTGTAACTATTGAGCAATATAGAGTGGCTTTACTGTCCATGCTGTGTTCTTTATGGTGGAATACAATTGCTTACACTAGCTGTATGAGGGTCTCGGTTTTTTATATTGGTGTTCTGAATTAAGTTTAAATTGGCTCATGCCGAATGCAGTAGTACAAATTTCGAATTTATTGTATGGTGGTTTAATTCTTCTGTTCCAGGAAGGGTAATTCCAGAAAGTGTGATCTATAGCTATGGAACCGTTCTGCTGGACCTCCTGAGTGGGAAGCATATACCTCCAAGCCATGTACCACACACTATCTTTCCTTTATTACTTAAATCACTTAAAATTTGCGTCTTAAGCTTCTGTTGAACCAAGATAGCGGTTAAATTAGAGTTTTTTTTAACCCGGAAGGTTAACCACCAAAATCAGTGGGGCAAATGCCGGGGAACATTTGCCATTATTTTATTAATGAGAATGAATTACAAAAGAAAGGAGCGATTAAATTAGAGCTTACTACAGCATGTCTTGTTCATATGTTGTTTTCTCTTTTTAGTACCTTGTACATTATTCTCAAGTTTTGGTTTAATGCATTAAGGTGAAGTTTGGTAGGAGTGTAATAACTTGTAAACAGTCACTGATGGATTTACTTATACAAAGCAATTGTATGTGTTCAGGCTTTGGATTTGATAAGGGGAAAAAACATATCTTTATTGATGGATTCATCCTTGGAAGGACAATATGGCAATGAAGATGCTTCTGCATTGGTAGAACTCGCTTCAAAGTGCCTTCAGTATGAATCTAGAGATCGTCCAAACATCAAGTTCATTCTTACTGCTGTGGGACCCCTTCAAAAGCAAAAAGAGGTAGTGTTGTTTTCATTTGATTGTTTCTCTACTGATGATTGATATTCTTATGTGCTTTCCATTGATGTTTTTAGGTTGCATCTCATGTTTTGATGGGTCTGACAAAAACCACCACCCCTGCTATTGTGCCCATCATGCTCTCACCTCTTGGGAAGGCATGTGCAAGGATGGACCTTACAGCTGTGCACGATATTATGCTCAAGACTGGTTATAAAGACGATGAGGGTGCAGAAAATGAGGTGAGAATATTTTCATCTTTGCTCCATTGTTGTGGGAACTGTACCGTACATATCTATTACTCTAAGCAAATAAGTAAAGAACCTGTATTAGGTTTGAGGAGCAAGGCAGCTACCAAGTTTTGCTATCTATCAGGGATTTTGTGCTGTTTTAATCCGTTATTTTATGTTTGGTCAGTTTAGATTCTGGAAGAGGCTAGGGAAATTAAACAAAACTCTAAAAATGTCTTTTTTGTAGTTTGTTTTTTCTCGAAAAATGCAAGGAAAATGAAATACAACTATTGTTTTAAAATTTTTCACATAGTGGTAGATTTCTAAGCATTTATATGATATAGAGACCAATGAAAAATGAATATGAACAAATATTAAATTAAAGTTGGGGCTAAACAAGTGTTTTATTATCCTCTACATTTTCTTTATTCTAAGGTTGTGGGAGAACATAAAAGATAGGCTAAAACTCAATAAGTTTGTCTTAGATATATCTTAATTCTGTCCTAATTTCATGTCTACTAGTGCTCTGAAAGTTCTAGGAACAAGGAAAGCGAAGTAGTGGGGTTTAGCAACTAGGCGGGATTTGGGGGCATAGTGCTTAGGAAAGCGATAATATATAGTTTTCTTAATTATTGAAGATGGCAAACTTATGATGTTTCTATTCTTTTGGGAAGCTTTCATTCCAAGAGTGGACACAACAAGTGCAAGATATGTTGAATACAAAAAAATTTGGTGACATTGCTTTTAGGGACAAGGACTTCAAGAGTGCAGTCGATTACTATTCAAAGGTAATCTCTGTGTTTTCTATCATCATCAGTGAAACACAAACCTCAGTCGGAACTTTCATATTTTGCATGCCTCCATGAAGATAACTATTTGGTACATTTTTTTTGTTAGTAAAAACTATATCTGACCCTCAAAATTTCATCGGTCCTCAAACTAAAGTCTTAATATTTTTATACGAGTAGTTTTAACTTTAAGGAGCCATATGCCCTTCAACCCGTATATGACTCCTTTAGTCAAAGGCTAACTTGACCGCAACACCACCACTCCTTTAGCCATATGCCCTTCAGCCCTTATATGACTCCTTTAGTCAAAGGCTAACTTGACCGCAACACCACCACTCCTTTAGCCATATGCCCTTATATGACTCCTTTAGACAAAGGCTAACTTGACCGCAACTCCACCACTATAAAAATGAGTGGTGTTTATGTTCCAAAGTTAGCCTATATGACTCCATAAAGGAGTCATATACTATCGTATTTTACTGTCAAATACAGCATGGCACCACAAGGGCTGTGGCATTTTATTAGCCAGATGGAATCCCACGTGGTACTACTGCACTTAGATCCAACTCATATTCTGTAATAACAATTTTCAAATGAATTAACTATTGCAAATATGATAAATGTTTTTAAAAAATAAAATCCATACAGGGTGGAAGGATATATATTCCATCCGACTACAAAATGGTCTTCCTCTTTTTGTTTTGCATCAATATTAAAAAGCGTTGGACCTCAATGAGGAAGAGTTAGAATAGTAAATGGTAATTTTTTACTTAAAATGGAAATTAGAACTGTAGGGGACAGTCACAAAATGAAAGGTTGAAGAACATCTAGAGAGGGGAAGTACATTTAATAAAGAGATGACTAGTTGTCACTTGTAGAAATGCATGATAACTGGTTGTAGTCCTTGCATATTTATTTCTTGTAGTCCTTGTAGTCCTTACTAGTTACCCGCACGAGTAGCTCAGTTGGTTGAATGGTTAGAAAGTTGGAAGAATGAACAAGGATCGAATCCCGCAGCGGCCGTGTGGAGGTTATAGTTCGTGTGTGCTAGGCTGGACCTTTGGTGCGCACACGTACAAGGTCTACCACCATTGGACCGACTGGGCCACCGTGACTAACATCCTCCCAAAAGTCTTGTTGGGTCGGGGCGTGGGGGGCTCTTGGGGTTGGGGATTCAGCCTTTTGGAAGAATGCATATTTATTTCTTCCTTGGTTGATGAACCATTATGAACTGCCTGATATGGATTCCTCTTTTTTGAAATTATAACAGTTGGTATCCATGATGTCCATTCCATCTGGTACTGTTTTCGTGAGGCGGGCCCTCTCTTACTTGATGTTAGGACAAGCAGAACTGGCGCTACGTGACGCTATGCAGGCGCAGGTGTGCTTGCCAGAGTGGCCCACTGCATTCTACATGCAGGCCCTTGCCCTCTCAAAACTAGGGATGGAAACCGATGCCCAGGACATGCTCACTGATGGTGCCTCCTTTGAAGGAAAGAAGCTGAATAGTTGGCGTAGCTAAACGGGTTAGATTTATAGTTCAGCTCTGACTGGGGCTTTCCACCAGTATAATGCGGGGGTTGCAAACTGATGTTGTAGCTAGTATAGTTTCCATATACGAAATGTATAGGGCGCGCGTATGGCTCTAGCTAGCTCTCTCTGAATCATACTGGTTTGGAACCTACTTAACTCATAACGTTTGTGTATGTTATTTTATTTTGACCCAAGTAAATGCTCTAATATCTCTTTTGCACTTGTGATTATCTAATAATGATACTGATTAATACGGGAGCATTAGGGGTGGGCATAACGGTTCGGTTTGACTGAATCGAACCGTACCAAACCGAATTTAACCAAACCGAAATTGAACCATTTGTAATTTGGTTTGAGTTTGGCAGTACTCCTCCCAATCCGTATTAAATCGAACCAAACCAAACCGAAATCATAAAATCGAATAAAACCAAACTAATCTAAAAATGAAATAATTTATAATTTTTTTAAAATAACAAATCAAAACCAACTTACACCAAACTAAACCAAACTAAAATATAAGATTTCTCTCATTAATTTGATTGATGTTAATCTTTTTGAAGCTTTAATTCTTTAATTTTAGTGTCGAGAACTAGAGTTTACTACAAGATTTACATTCACAACTATAACAATTATAGTGGTTTAAGTAGATAGTATTTAACTATAATTTATTATCTACTACTACTATATATTTGGTTCATTACTTACACGCACAAGTTTTGTTTTTGTTTCGCTTTTATACATAATTTGATTCATTCCCGTTGTTGCTTACAGATGTGTCATTTTTATATATTTTTGGTTCATATGTGCTTTGTTAATGTTTGCAAATTTATATCTAACATTATATTTGGTTCCTTACTATCGCTTCTTGGTTCATTATTTTGAGTTATTTTTTTTTATTTCAATCCAAACCTTAATACTTTGGTAAACCGAACTCCAAACCGAACCGAATTTGGAAGGTAGGTTATTGTAGGGGAAAGGGATAGGAATGGTAAGGAAACCCTTCTTGTTTGGGACGTGAAAGTAATAAATTTGGAAGAAAAGAGTTTTTAAAGCAATTATAATTAAAATCACTTTGAGATATGACGAATTCAAATAATTGTATTGATATTCATTTTTAATTGAAATTAAAGTATAATTTTGTTAATTATCTTTCAAAACCCTTCAAATTCGAGAAACTTAAAAATTGAGGATTTAAAGAGTTTTGGAGGATCACAAAACCCTCCAAAACCATACCTCCAATTTTTTTAAACTCCCAAGTATGTTTGAGAATTTGAAGGGGGGGTTGAAGGTTAGTCATTGGACGGAAAGAGAAGGAACCCATTTTATTTGGGAGTAACAAATTTGAAAAGGTAGAAGTTATGAATTATTTTCTTTAAGGAAAGAGCTTATATTAATATCAAAGAAACGAGCATCCCCACAGTCACAATAAACCAAGTCTCCCTATGAGACTTCATACAGCCAAAAGACCCTCTCACTCTCTGATTGGACATATAATAGATCACCCAAATTTGAGCTAGACTAATAACTAATCATGCGAAAACTTCGAATCTTTTAACGACCAAACAAGTCTTATCGCTTCCACCCAAAGAACCATCATGGAAAATAAAAACAACAAGAAAACACCTACCTCTACTGTCCCAAAAGATAATAAAACCAAACAAAATATTAAAAGACAATAAAAAATTTAAAAAATTGCATGTGCAGAAACCCTAGCTTCTCGTTCATTTCTTGGTGGTGGTTTAGGAGGGGGACGACCATTGACACTTCATCTTCTTCCAGTTTGTCCCTTCTAATTTGCTAATCGTTGGATCCAGTCGTGCTTTCACTCTAAGGCATCTCTCAAGCTAAACTTTCATCTACATCGGGGAGAAAAGCCTTGGGTTGTCACCCCTGGCGCCCACATTACTCGCCAAGATCTGCACATCACCATTGTCGTCGCCCTCCATCCATCTTCGACTCCTTCGTTGAAGAAATCGAGACCCACTCGATGCCGAAAATTCAGATGCGAAACTAAGACCTAACAGTGAAGGCTCTGCCGCTTCTTCCTACTCGTGAAGACAAACAACCCTGCCAGTGTTGCCTTCTCCGTCCCTGTCTACTCTTGCTCGGAGGCTGAGGATTCACAAAGGAACCCGCCGAAAACTAACTCTAAGCACGAGGAGTCGTGCTAGGCACTTCTGCTCTTCAAAGAATATGTTTCTATTTATCTGTTATAACAGTAAGAAATTCAAACCACATGTATGGGATGCATAATGCCAATATAATTTTGATTAGTTATGGATGAGTTATAATTAAAATCACTTCAAATGTATAAGGAATTCAAATACTTAAATTTATATTTATTTAAAATTGAACTAAAGTTGTCATTTAATTATATTAGTTATCTTTCAAAATACCTCAATTTGGGGGAACTTGAAAACTGAGCATTTGAAGGGGTTTTGGAGGGTTACAAAAGCGCTCCAAAAATCAAAACCATCCATCCATATTTTTAAACTCCGAAACATGAAAGGGAGGCTCACACACCCCGACCAACCTTGCCCTCCTCTTCATACCCATAACTGAAGCCTGATATTGTGAGCACCGATTACCATTCTGTCTATCTGAGCCATTCTTGTTAGTTTCCAGGTTTCCGGTCAGATAATTTTTATACATTAGCTTGCCAAATGTAAGCCTTATAATGTGTTGTATTGTTTATCTATTTTAATACTCGAAGCAATGTTGTTAAGACTTGGGGTTTCATCCTAAAAGGTCAACCTGACTGAAGGAGTAATCCAAATCTTAATATAATGTTTTATTGTTTTATAGCTTTCTGGTGTGAGACAAATACTTTAACACATCTCCTCAGTCTGAACTAGGTTGGATAACTTCGGGATGTATAAATGGACCAAACTGACCATTAACAAGCTACCCTTAATCATGAGTGTTAAACAAGCAGTCAAACCACAACTGGACTTAGCTCTGATACCATTTAATGCCCGAGGTTTCATCCTAAAAGGTCAACCTTGATAGGAGGAGTAACCCAAAGTCATATACAATGTTTTATTATTTTATAGCTTTCTAGTGCGGGACAAATACTTTAACACCCCCCTCAGCCCAAATTGGGTTGAACATTATCAGGGTGTATAAATGGGCCAAACAGATCCTTAATGACAGAAAATAAAAAATTAACAAATGCCCAAATAGGACAATTGCACTAACTATTTTAATAACATTAATTTTGCTCATGTGAGGCGATCAGTGAACCGAGCCATCCATAATATGCCTAGGTGGGCTAGTTCTATGTCTGATTGCTATCTTTGGAATCATTTCCCCCGGCTTGTATTTCTTCTTCTTTGAACCATGACCTCATTAATATGAGTTAGTTTTATTCTTGTAAAAAGACCAACTATCACTGGTAAGTCAATAATAGTACGCCGTTTAAAATAATGTTTAATAAAAATTATTAAACATTAATACAACAACAACATCCAAGCCTTAGTCCCAAAAGATATTGGGGTCGGCTAACATGAATCGATACATGATATCACAACCAAAAGGAAAAGAATGAATAAAGATAAAAATATAAGCTATTATGAAAAGATAAAAATTATTAAACATTAATAAATGTTTAAAATAATGTTTAATATGATTTGCAACCGCTTTCTGACTAGTAATCAAGCCATTGAACATATGAAAAGCTGATATCTATCAAATAAATGTGAGTCCGTCCATCGTACAACCGGCTGTACGGTGAGCACCGTACAGCCGGTGGCATTTTTGTAATATAATGTGAAAATCGCGGTTTCTGCTATCTGAGCATTAATGTACTGTTAATGAGCAATAGTTCAATTTTAATGAGTGTTAAGAGTCTAATAATGAGCACCATGTTATTACAAGAAAGCTGAAATCACAACTAAAAAACGGTGGCATTTTCGTAATTTTAGTGAAATTCACGGTTTTCGTTAGATGAGCATTAATACACTCACTGTTAATGAGCACCAGACGTATTTTAATGAGTATTAAGAGTCGAATAATGAGTATTGTTATATCAACTTCATATATTGTAATTCACTTTCTTTTTCTTATTTTATCTTTTATAATAACTCATTAAATTATATCTATAATCAACTTCTATGAATTTCAATCAATTTGTAAATCTAATGTAATATGGTACTTTTGAAATATGCATTGATATGACATTTTTAAAATGTGTATAACATGACTACCAATTGAGTATACTAACTTATAAAATGAGTGTTTGTATGAAAATAATAAGTTTTTCTAGTTGAGTGAGCATCAAGACATTTTCATTGAGAATCAAACATCATGTTTTGAGTATTATAAACATGCAATTGAGTATCATGATCTATGCTCATGTATCTACAATCAACTCCTACATAAATGTAATGTAATATAATATTTTTCAAATATATATGCATTGATATAACATTTTAATGAGCGTAACACTATTACAAAATGAGCATACACTAGTTTCCAAATGAGCAATGATATAAAAATCATAATCTTTGTTAATTAGTTGAACATAAAAATATGTTCACTGAACATCAAACCTCCTCTATTGAGTATCAAAAGCATGCAATATATTGAGTATCATGATCTCTATTCACATGTATGTAATCTAACTCTTATGCAAATCTAACATGATACTTTATGTATCCATTTATATGTCATTTTAAATTAGCATAAAACCAGTACTTAATAATGAACAAACGTATATTACAAAATGAGCATCGAAAAATTCAAAAGCTTGTTCGAATTCTCTAATGTAATATAGTAATAAAAAAATATAGTAATTTTATATTAAAAATAATTTATAGTCTTCCGTTCTTGAATTACAAATATAATCAGGTTCTTTTTATAACGTTTACTCATGCATATTTATTTAACACTATACACATTTAAGTATAACACAAAACTCATGTTAAATTAAAAATAGAAAAATAAAACATTAATACCTAAAATATTTTATAATGAACAAATTAAAAAAGGTTGAATATATAATGCACAAAACATTTTCATAATAATTGAATATATAATTAAAGCAAAAGGTTGCTAAAGGGAAACAAAAAAAGAGAGATAACAAACAATAAGAAAATCAAAAAAAGAAAGCAGAAGTACGGAACTAATAAAAAAATTTAAAAAACAAAAAAATTAAAAAAGTGCGGAACTAACAAAAAGAACTGCGGAACTAACAAAAAAAGTGTGGACCATGGGCATGTGAAAGAAAGGAGAACAAACCAATGCCAAAAAG